AATATCTCTTTGGATTTGAGACTTTAGTCTTTGCAACTTTACAGATCTTCTTTATGCACCAAGAGCTTGTAACACGCCAAAGAGAAAGGAAAAATTTAAATCGCATCATATGACCCCTTTAAGAGCTGTCGGGTCGGATTTCGCGGGAAATTGCGTGCATATGACAAATGGCAGTGCGTCATGTTTTGTTGTTATAAGAACAAGAAGAAAATGACCATGGCTCTTTCAAAACGACAAACCTCCAGGGACTAACAAAACAACAAAACGGTATTTAATATGTCCCAAATAAATAGATGTCCTGTATCACCGTTGTCTCGAATCACATTCATCCACGCAGAGTCGAGGCACAACCAAAACCGCAAGACCCATGCAGTTTTATTGTTAACCACTAGATGGGACAAAAGTTAAATGCAGTTTCAATAGATTCATTCTTATAAATGGAATAAAAAAATTTTTTTAGCACTTGTTAAGAACTGATGTGATGCACTTGTCCTCCTTATAACCTATGCCTTTCTTTTTTTCTTATCTCATACTTATAAACTGAGCTGTGTTTGTGTTTCAGAGAATCCCATTATCTGAAATGACTCGCACTGAGATTAACAAACTCTTGGCAACGCTGGGCTTTTATAAAAAAGAGAATCCCGAAGACCAAGTGCCAGAGGAGTTCCGCTTCGCTCCAGCGAAAGACAGTCCCTTTGAGGGCCAATCTACCAGCCCGCCCCCTAAGACTGATACTGACCAATCAGAGGCCGATTCCCAGCACACAGATTTGTAACTCCTTATGTAAGAGCGATGGCGTGGGACGCTAGCGGTGCGAGACCTACTTGATTTACAATTACCGTGAGAACTAAAACCGAGCCAGACGAGCTCTCTTCAGAGTTTAATGTGGCCACATTATTGTTATATTACTGTCAACACGCATTCAGCAACTTGATTTGATTATGAGTGGTGTTACGGAGAATATCTCTTTGGATTTGAGACTTTAGTCTTTGCAACTTTACAGATCTTCTTTATGCACCAAGAGCTTGTAACACGCCAAAGAGAAAGGAAAAATTTAAATCGCATCATATGACCCCTTTAAGAGCTGTCGGGTCGGATTTCGCGGGAAATTGCGTGCATATGACAAATGGCAGTGCGTCATGTTTTGTTGTTATAAGAACAAGAAGAAAATGACCATGGATCTTTCAAAACGACAAACCTCCAGGGACTAACAAAACGGTATTTAATATGTCCCAAATAAATAGATGTCCTGTATCACCGTTGTCTCGAATCACATTCATCCACGCAGAGTCGAGGCACAACCAAAACCGCAAGACCCATGCAGTTTTATTGTTAACCACTAGATGGGACAAAAGTTAAAATGTATCTTTCAAAGTCTTGAAAGTTGTGAAATCATGGTAATGCAAGAGTCATGATAAAAGACCAATGTTCAGTAATCACATTATTAACAACAATAAAAAAAATTTAGCAGTAAAATTGTAAAACATTGCGAAAACTAAACAAGATATAAAATTCAATTGATGTGGTCACATGCACATATATAAGACAATGGCTACAAATGTGGCTCATCTAATCATAATTTCGACTTGTTTAAAAAAAATTATGATCTATCCATCATGATCTGCCTCAATTTTATCTTGCCATTTTTCTACCATCAATAAAACATTTAAAGTAATTTATCTAAAATGATCTTCTTGAGTCACTTGGCTCATTGTAAAGTCTTGTTGCACTCATGATTATAAATCTTTTTGATTCCCTATTTCAGAAAATGCAATAAATGACAAACACATTTTTGGTGTCATTTATGGTTTTAATGATTACTATACAAAACCATGGTGTAGGGAAATACTGAGTGAACAATAGTTTTTGAATGAGTGTGTACAAATATTATAATGTTAATGTTCATCTTTCCGTGTGAATGAATGTTAATGAGCTCTACTCATGCAACCTTCAAGTACCAAGCAAAGTCACTCTCTGGCGTGGCTGCTGCAGTAGCTGTGTTTCGTCTTCAAAATTAAATTATGTGTAGTCATTAAAACAATTAAAACTACAACCATCTTTAGAACCAAATATATAAACATCATTAACCTTTTCAGGTGAATTTACTGCTAAAATATTCTTCTTCTCAAATTGACTCGAGACTAGGGTTACTCATATATATATATATATATATACACACACACACACACACCCTTTAAATTACACTTTGTTTCTGTCCGAAAGCCATGTTGTAAAGATGTACAAAGACAGACACTTTAAGCTTATTTTTTGGGACAAACTTCATTGCTTCCAAATGAAGTTCAGGAATATCAACAAATCCAAAATATACTCATCCATAAACAAGGACAGATCACAAGTGCATCTATACATGCATGTTTGTGTATTTGATATCACTTCAAAATGTTTATGTTCAATTCTCGCTAAGAAGAACGAGGCAGACGTCGGATATCTGCAGAGAAACTAACCAGTGTTCAGTGTAAAACCAAACTTTCAATTAAGTGAAAAACATTTAAAAACAGTTCATGAGCTGCATCTTGCACTCAACGGCTGAAGCCAGAACAAGCAGTGAGATTAATATTCTTGCAACGTTTTTAAATAAACAATATCGCATACAAATGAACATATAACATTCATTTCTTTTTGAAACAAAACTAAAACTTCAAGTAAGCTTGTGAAAGCATGCAGGTCAGAGCTCCATTAACAGCAACAGTACCGTAAAAGCTTTTAAAGCCATAGATATGGGCAATCAACATAAAATCATGTTTCGTTTTAGCACATGAAATCAAGTAAGAGGCATCTTGGGAGTTATACTAAATATAACTTGCAATTTTCATTTTTTGCTAACTTTTTTTTGGAGCAAACTACTGTTCGTTTAAACAAACTAGTGTAAAAAAAACACCCTAATGAGTTTTTACAGTTGGTACAGGAGAAGTTGTTTGGATCTGTCTGGAAAGTAAACACAATTTTAACTGTTGAAATGTAACAGGGTCAGAATGAAAAAAAAAGAGTTTAAAGCATGAGTTGTTAGAGAGTGTTGAGCATCAGAAGTCAGAGGTCTGCTGCGCCCGCGCGATCATCATCTCATGCTTGCGCAGATGGTTCACCAGTGACTGAACATACGTGAACACACACTTGGAGTCTGGTTTCTTACCCATGATCATCATGTCCTCCACCTCCAGCAGGGGCATGCAGTTAGCATTGGCCCTAATGAAAAGACAACCACAGACAAATTATAAAACAATGGAAACAATGCAAACTAAATGATGCTTTATATGCTGTCTACACTAACTCTGTGCAGTTGATATGCTTAACCAACAGGGTGCAGCACTGCCATTCGATACAGAGAGTTTACTATCTATGTACTGGAGAATAAAGCAACTCCTGCTGCTTTTGAAGCAGTACAGTTCAAATGTATTGACAGCATGCTGGCGATTACCACAGAAATTCATTTAGATTTGTTTGTGAAAACAAGAATAACTTTAAAAATAAAAACTGTTTACAGTAATGCACCAACAACATAACTTGAGATGAGGCACTGCACCAAAATAAAATCACAACATATTATACAAAGCCATAGATATGGGCAATCAACATAAAATCATGTTTCGTTTTAGCACATGAAATCAAGTAAGAGGCATCTTGGGAGTTATACTAAATATAACTTGCAATTTTCATTTTTTGCTAACTTTTTTTTGGAGCAAACTACTGTTCGTTTAAACAAACTAGTGTAAAAAAAACACCCTAATGAGTTTTTACAGTTGGTACAGGAGAAGTTGTTTGGATCTGTCTGGAAAGTAAACACAATTTTAACTGTTGAAATGTAACAGGGTCAGAATGAAAAAAAAAGAGTTTAAAGCATGAGTTGTTAGAGAGTGTTGAGCATCAGAAGTCAGAGGTCTGCTGCGCCCGCGCGATCATCATCTCATGCTTGCGCAGATGGTTCACCAGTGACTGAACATACGTGAACACACACTTGGAGTCTGGTTTCTTACCCATGATCATCATGTCCTCCACCTCCAGCAGGGGCATGCAGTTAGCATTGGCCCTAATGAAAAGACAACCACAGACAAATTATAAAACAATGGAAACAATGCAAACTAAATGATGCTTTATATGCTGTCTACACTAACTCTGTGCAGTTGATATGCTTAACCAACAGGGTGCAGCACTGCCATTCGATACAGAGAGTTTACTATCTATGTACTGGAGAATAAAGCAACTCCTGCTGCTTTTGAAGCAGTACAGTTAAAATGTATTGACAGCATGCTGGCGATTACCACAGAAATTCATTTCGATTTGTTTGTGAAAACAAGAATAACTTTAAAAATAAAAACTGTGTTTACAGTAATGCACCAACAACATAACTTGAGATGAGGCACTGCACCAAAATAAAATCACAACATATACACGTTAACATGAAATTGGTTATGAACTGTGTACAGTTCCAAATTTTCAGGATGATTTACACTAGGACATTTCATAATGGGGCGTGTAAAAAATTTAAAGGGGCAAATACTTGAATAGAAACTTAAATATGCATTTTTTTTTAAAAGTTGTACAAAATATATTGTAATACTCTTTAAATAATAAATAGAAAATATGCTTTTTTTTTTTTTTACATTTTCCACAAAACTATATCATGCTCATTTTAATTATTTTCTCTACATAAAAATACAGAGCTATTTTATATATTATTCGATACAGAGAGTTTACTATCTATGTACTGGAGAATAAAGCAACTCCTGCTGCTTTTGAAGCAGTACAGTTAAAATGTATTGACAGCATGCTGGCGATTACCACAGAAATTCATTTCGATTTGTTTGTGAAAACAAGAATAACTTTAAAAATAAAAACTGTGTTTACAGTAATGCACCAACAACATAACTTGAGATGAGGCACTGCACCAAAATAAAATCACAACATATTATACACGTTAACATGAAATTGGTTATGAACTGTGTACAGTTCCAAATTTTCAGGATGATTTACACTAGGACATTTCATAATGGGGCGTGTAAAAAATTTAAAGGGGGAAATACTTGAATAGAAACTTAAATATGCATTTTTTTTTTAAAGTTGTACAAAATATATTGTAATACTCTTTAAATAATAAATAGAAAATATGCATTTTTTTTTTTACATTTTCCACAAAACTATATCATGCTCATTTTAATTATTTTCTCTACATAAAAATACAGGGCTATTTTATATATTATGCAAGCGGATCATCATGGTATTTTAGTATCATTGATATATATATATAGTTTTTAATATTTAGAATTTAATTTTATTTTATACTGTTTTTATTTCAATTTTAGGTAAAATCTTACTAACGTTTTGTCATTTTTTTTATTTAAAATGTGTCTAAATGGCTTTTATTAAATTACATTTTTGAGTTTCATTTTTAGTACTTCAAATGTTTTACTTCAACTAGCTGCAATAAACATTTACTAAAATAAAATAACAACTTGCTTTATTTCAAATAATGAATTTATACATATATAGTTTTAGTTTGATAAGCCTGATGTGAGGGGTCCTTGATAAAGCTTGGTATAAATGCACTTTTCTGTTTTTAAACCCTCCGAAATGCACGGCTCCCACTGTAAGTGCATTACTGTTAGCTTCAAATGCTGTACTTCAACCAGCCGAAATAAACAGTAAAATATAACCACTTACTGTATTTCAAGTAATATGCATTACTGTAAACTTGTTTTAACAAAATTAGAAATGATGGAAGATGCTGTAGACAGAGGTTAAGTTGCACTGAATTCTGAATAATTTACCCATTGCTACTCTTCTAAGTCAGGCAAAAGGGAAATCTCTAGAAGTTGTGATAGCAAACATTCAGCACGTGCCAAGAACAAGCTTCTGTTTCGTGTCCGATGTGCTCTTTACACTGGTAGCTAAAGCAGTGTATTTGAGTAGGCCAGGCTTTGATAGGCTCATTTCACA